GCTTGGCCTGCTGTGTTCATCCAGCTCTACACCTTGTTATCACAGTATGATAAAGGTTTTTTTTATTCACTTGTGGGATATGGGGATCGCTGGCTGGTCAGCATTTGTTGCAGGTCCTTAGCGACCCTTGAACCAAATGGCTTACCAGGCCATTTCAGAGGACGGTTGAGAGTCAACAACATTGTTGTGGATCTGGAGTCACATGTAGGCCAGACCATTTGAGGACAGCAGATTTCCTTCCTTGAAGGACATTAATGAGCCAGCTGGGTTTTTCCGACAATCAGCAATGGTTTCATGGTCATCAGTAGATTCTTAATTCCGGACCTTTTTTTTCATCCAATTCAAATTCCACCATCTGCCGTGGTGGGATTTGAACCCAGATCCCCAGAACATTAATTGAGTTTCTGGATTAATAGTCTAACGAAAATACCATTAGACCATTGCCTAGGTAAAAGAGAAACTTGAAGAAGCCTCCTCTTTGATACCTTTTGATCATAATCTAAGACATACTTGCTCCACCCCCCACCAAGCCCTGTAGAGTCACCACAATCCCAGAGGACCAGTCTCCCAGCTGGGAGAGAATTGGTGTTTGTTTAATGAGGGTCACCACAAAGGTTAGGAAGAAGAGTTCTCCATGGTAACCTCAGCCAGAATTAGGCCCATACCATTGGCATAACACAGCATCACACACTGGCTGTCCAGCCAACTGAGCTAACTAGCTCCATACCGGTTGGGGCAATTAGCCTTAGTGAAAGCATTTTCTATCTGTTGATCCTGTCCTCTCCATCAAAAAATAGATTTTAGGAGCCAAATGGTGATAAGTTAGCAGGAAAGCAGCAATATTTACCTCTGAGGACTTAATTTATAACAGACTGAAGGACAATGGTCACTAGACCAGCGCTATGAGCCAAAACAGATGCGTTTGTGCTCACAAAGCTCTCAGTTACCTGACTACCACCAACCTTATTGGTGGACAACATCTTAAAGGACTCCACATGCAGCTTGGATTTTAGCTGGTTTTATCCAGTCAGATGTTATCTGCTCCGACTGTGTGCTTTCAGAGATCCTAATCTCTGAGGATTGGGTGATAGTCCGACTCTGAGTGTGTTTTTCTACTAAATTACACAGCACAGCACAGTGTGGGTTCATAGAATCCCTACGGTGTGGAGGCAGACCATTTGGCCCATTGACTCCTCCAAAGAGCATCCCGTACAGACCCACACCCCTACCCTATCCCTGTAACCCTGCATTTCCCATGGCTAATCCACCTAGTCTGCACATCCCTGGGCACAATGGGTAATTTAGCATCTAACTTGTACATCTTTGTGATGTAGGAACTGCCGATGCTGGAGAATCTGAGATAACAAGCTGTAGACCTGGATGAACACAGCAGGCCAAGCAGCATCAGAGGAGCAGGAAAGCTGACGTTTCAGGTCTGGACACTCCTTCAGAAAAGGGGGAGGGGAAGGGGATTCTGGTCTCAATGTGGACTTTACAAGTTTCAAAATCTCCCCACCCCTGACCTCATCCCAAGACCAGCCCAGCTCGTCCACGCCTCCTTAACCTGTCTGTCTTTTCTCCCACCTATCCGCTCCTCCCACCTCACTGACCAACCCCCACCCCCACCTCCTACCTTCCAGCCCCATCCCTGCCTCCTTGACCTGTCCGTCTTCCCTTAACTGACCAAACCCCATCCTAACTCCCCACCTACACTCACCTTTACTGGCTCCATCCCCACCTCCTTGATCTGTCCGTCTCCTCTCCACCTATCCGCTCCTTTATCCACCTTCCATCATCGCCTCTACCCCCATCTATTTATTTCAGAATCTGCTTCCCCTCCCCCATTTCTGCTGTGTTCATCCAGCTCTACACCTTGTTATTGCGCATCTTTGTGCTGTGGGAGGAAAACAGAGTGCCCAGACAGACACAGGGAAGAAAATGCAAACTCCACACAAACAGTCACCTGAGGCTAGAATTGAACCTGGGTCCCGAGTGCTGTAAAGCAGCAGTGTTAACCATTGAGCCACCATACTGACAGGTTATCTTAAATAGTAGGAACTGCAGATGCTGGAGAATCCGAGACAACAAGGTGCAGAACTGGATGAACACAGCAGGCCAAGCAGCATCATAGGAGCAGGAAGGCTGACGTTTCGGGCCTAGACCCTTCATCAGAAATGGGGGAGGGGAAGGGGGTTCTGAAATAAATAGGGAGAGAGGGGGAGGCGGATAGAAGATGGATAGAGGAGAAGATAGATGGAGAGGAAACAGACAGGTCGAAGAGGCGGGGATGGAGCCAGTAAAGGTGAGTGTAGGTAGGGAGTTAGTACTGTATCGGCGCCGCCTCGTGCTCCCACGAGGAGCTCAAACAGTTCATCCATTTCACCAACACCTTCCACCCCAACCTTAAGTTCACCTGGACCATCTCCAATACCTCTCTCTCCTTCCTGGACCTCTCTGTCTCCATCTCGGGCAACCACCTAGAAACTGATATCCATTTCAAGCCCACCAACTCCCACAACTACCTAGAATACATCTCCTCCCACCCACCTTCCTGCAAAAATGCCATCCCTTATTCCCAATTCCTTCGCCTCCGCCGCATCTGCTCCCAGGATGAGGTATTCCACTCCCGTACATCTCAGATGTCCTCGTTTTTCAAGGACGGCAACTTCCCCCCCCTCAGTGGTCGAGAACGCCCTCCACCGTGTCTCCCACATTTCCCGCAACTCATCCCTCACACCCCGTCCCCGCAATAACAACCAAAAAAGAATCCCCCTCGTCCTCACGTACCACCCCACCAACCTCCGCATCCAACGCATCATCCTCCGACACTTCCGCCATCTGCAATCTGACCCCACCACCAAAGACATCTTTCCCTCCCCACCCTTATCTGCTTTCCGGAGTGACCACTCTCTCCGTGAGTCCCTTGTCCGCTCCACACTCCCCTCCAGCTCCACCACACCCGGCACTTTTCCCTGCAACTGCAGGAAGTGCTACACCTGCCCCTACACCTCCTCCCTCACCCCCATCCCAGGCCCTAAGAAGACTTTCCACATCAAGCAGATGTTCACCTGCACATCTGCTAATGTGGTATACTGCATCCGCTGTACCCATTGTGGCCTCCTGTACATCGGGGAAACCAAGCGGAGGCTTGGGGATCGCTTTGCAGAACACCTACGCTCGGCTTCGCAATAAACAACTGCACCTCCCAGTCGCGAACCATTTCAACTCCCCCTCCCATTCCTCAGACGACATGTCTATCCTGGGCCTCCTGCAGTGCCACAACGATGCCACCCGAAGGTTGCAGGAACAGCAACTCATATTCCGCTTGGGAACCCTGGAGCCCAATGATATCAATGTGGATTTCACAAGCTTCAAAATCTCCCCTCCCCCTACTGCATCCCAAAACCAGCCCAGCTCGTCCCCACCTCCCTAACCTGTTCTTCCTCCCACCTATCCCCTCCTCCCACCTCAAGCCGCACCCCCATCTCCTACCGACTAACCTCATCCCGCCCCCTTGACCTGTCCGTCCTCCCTGGACTGACCTATCCCCTCCCTAACTCCCCACCTACACTCACCTTTACTGGCTCCATCCCCGCCTCTTCGACCTGTCTGTCTCCTCTCCACCTATCTTCTCCTTTATCCATCTTCTATCCGCCTCCACCTCTCTCCCTATTTATTTCAGAACCCCCTTCCCCTCCCCCATTTCTGATGAAGGGTCTAGGCCCGAAACGTCAGCCTTCCTGCTACTCTGATGCTGCTTGGCCTGCTGTGTTCATCCAGCTCTACACCTTGTTGACACGTTATCTTGCCTGACTGGTCAATGTCACTGTAGTACTTGAACTTCTGTAAGTCTTCTTCATCTAACCCTATCAGCATAACTCTCAGCTACATGTTCCTCATATTTCCTTTGAATACAACTTTTGCATTCACCTCAATACTTCTCAAGTTCCACATTCTAAACTGGGTGCAGGATAAAGAAGACTCTCCTGAATTACCCACTGGACTTTATTGCAAATACTTATGGCGTCTTGTTTTGAACTTTCATCCTGTCTAGTCAAGGCATTGGTCTGACACATTGTAATTTCAAGGCATTTCACTGCCCATGGATTTCCTCTAAAGTCAAGGCGCTGTTGGGAACGAGATAAGTCGAGCAGCAGCAAGACCTTGCTGGTCTGAGTTGAGTTGCACAGAGCAAGCGGCCACAATGAGACAAGTGACCATTTTTTGAAGGATGGAATTTGGGCTGAATGATAACCCTGGCCTTTTGAAGTGGTGCCTTGGGGCTGTTGATATTTACAGTGACTCCAGGGGCGTCTGGCATTTCAGTGAAAGTTTTCAGGCATTCTTTGAATTGTGAAAGCAGCCCGTCCCCACCAGTGAAGATACACTGACCCAAAACCCACCCTCAGCAAAGCCACCCCCCCACCAAACCTCCCCTCACCTTACCAGCACTCGCCTCTCTATCCCCGGTGACGCTCCACACACTTACCTCAGTCTGATCGAGATGGCTTACATGAGCTTCTCTGGTCATCCCAGCGTTTCTGCTGGGACTCAGAGCGGCTGACCTTTCCAGTATTCCTTGGACGCGGTAACGTGTCCTCAGAATGGACGGGAGCCCCAGCAGGCAACCCACTAACCGCATGGGTGAATGGGCTCCCGGAAGCAGCCGAGCTGGGTGTGCACTCCATCGTGAAAGGCGCTACCTAAATGCAAGTCCTTTCTTGCAGGCCCCGAGAAGGTCAAACAGGAGACAGATCCGACGTGGAGATGGGAAGAAAATGAGTGGAGAGAAAGAGCCCAGAAAATGGAGGAGACATAAGTTTGAAGTTGTTCAAATCAATATTCAGGCCATGACTAATTTTCTAAGCTTGTGTGTACATTAGGTTCCCAATTGAAGCCACATATTTTGAATACAATATATCTTGGAATGATATTCCTTCATTCTCAATGTAGTTTCTGATTGATGTGTACTTTAATGTTGATTCTAGTCTGTACTGGCTTGATTAATTTAATCATTTTCTTTCTCTCTCTTGGATACAATGTACATCTTCGACTGTCAATCACTACTTGGTTTAATAAAGGAATAAAGATCATTGATTAACTTGAGTGACGTATGGAACAACTTCGTACAAGGATTTGTATAGGGTCTGATTAGATTAAGAGTTTTGTGCCAACAAATGGCTTTACTCAGATTATAATTAGACAGAATTAAAGTGACAGATGATAAGGATGCTTCAAATTCAATTTTTTCTGTAGATTTCTTTGCTATTTTCCTGCTTTTTTATTGCTTGGAAAGTGAATTAATTCCAGCAGAAAATGAATTTTCCATCTCGATAAAAGCGCCATGGGGCTGAGATACCATCATGCCAAAGTTTCTACAAATCTGATTTCACACCAACACATGGCTAAAGTCATCATGAGGAAGACATTCACCCTCAGAAGGTGTTTATACTCTAGTGGTTCCAGGATCTGGTCCAGTAGCGTACCTAGGCTGACATTCGATGCTGTCCTGGAGGGAGTTCTGTCTCTCAGAGGTGTCAACATTTGGGGAGGGACGTCAGTAGCAGGTCCTTTGGGTGGGGAGGGTTGTGTGCTTGGGGGGCTCTCGCAGGAGGGGTGTAAAAATCCCACGGCCTCGTTTCAGAGGAAAAACTGCGGAATTCTCTGGTCAATGTTTATCACTTTAAACAGGGGTCAATTCAGCCATTATCAGGACGGTCTTGGGTAGACACGCCCTCATATAGACATGCCCATTAAAGGGAGGTGATGGTCTAGTGGTATTATTGCCGGACTTTATTGCAAACCCAGATAACGTTCTGGGGACCCGGGTTCAAATCCCATCATGGCAGATGGTGGAATTTGAATTCAATAGACTATTGGAATTAAGAATCTAATGATGACCATGAATCCATTATTGATTGTTGGAAAAACCCATCTGGTTCACTAATGTCCTTTAGGAAAGGAAATCAGCCATCCTTACCTGGTCTGGCCTACATGTGACTCCAGACCCACAGCAATGTGGTTGACTCTTAACTGCCGAATGGGCAATAAATGCTGCCTAGCAGCGCTGCAGTCATCCCATGAATGAACAAATAAACATATACAACGGTAACTACACTTCAATCAGTTACAAAATGCTTTGCGGATGGCAATGGCGCTACCTCAATGCAAATTCTTCCTTTATATAACGTCCCCTGTGGAGCAGTATAGCGGCATTAATCTTCGAGCATATGTCGTAAGCCAGCTATAGCCAAGACGTCTGTGCCTTCTCTTAATGAGCAAGCTCCTGACACAAGTTGTTGTCTGGTTTATAAATGGTGCCTGTGTACAAATATGTTTTCATAAGGACCCAGGGGGTCAAAAACAGTAGACAATGCTCGTTAAAGCAGCATTAGCATTCCCCATCTGACATTTACATTTAATTAAGTACCAGCAATGAACACACTGTTCTGTTCTCTTCTTCAAACCTGCCCCTCCCCCAGCAACTTTCAACATGTGCCTCTGGGCAGCACATTTCATGTAAAACAACTTAAAACAGTGAAATGAGTCCTGTTAATTTGTTTTGGAATGAGTCGCGGTTAAATCTGCAGTGGGTGTCTGTATGTAACTGAGTGAGAGGTAACCATCCTATCAGAATCCCATCTTAGGAGGTCCTGTCCGTGAGAGAAGAAGACAAATGCTCAGTGTGTTTTAATATACTCCAAGACTAAGACAGAAACAGACCAACAAATCCTAGTGACTTGGAGATAGCAAGGACTGCAGATGCTGGAAGTTAGAGTCAATAAATGTGGAACTGGAAAAGCACAGCAGGTCAGACAGCATCCGAGGAGCAGGGTAGTCAACGTTTTGGGCCGAAACCCTTCGTCCTTTCTGCTTCCTCTTTCCATCTTCCCTCCTCTCATCCCATCTCCAACACGTTTTATTCCCTCACCCCTAGCTTTCCTTAAATCCGTTAACACTGTTCGACCCGACTACCGCTTGTGGTGGATGCTCTATATTCTTATCACTCTCTGTGTGAAGAAACATTGAAACAAAGACAGTAGGAACAGACGTAGACCATTCGAGCTTGCTTTGCCACTCAATCTGCTCATAGTTGATCCTGTTCCCACTTTTGTTCTATACTCTATGACTGTCTTAGCCCTCAGAACCAAATCTATATATTTCTTGAAAAACATTCAATGTGTTGGTCCAACTACTTTTTGTGACAGACTACTTTTTGGTCCATCCTGTATCCCTAGATTGTCACCTCTGGTTGTGGACTCCTCAGTCTTTGGGAACATTCTTCCCGACTTTACACAGTCTAGACCGTTTAGAGTTATATAGTCTTCTATAAAATTGCCCCTCGTTTTTCTAAACTGTCTGCATGTCAGTACTGCCATTGGAGAACGGTCTGGCGAGAACCTTATCTTTTGTGAATTCCTTATTGAAGTTATTAGCTTACGGGTCCTAGTTTTAAACTTCCTCACTACCCTCATGAAACCCTTCCTCAGTTTGTGGACGTCTTTCAGGTCATCTACCTCTGTCTTTAGGTAAAGTAATGAGTTCAAATTTATCTCAGAGCTCCCTTCCCCCTCCCCCATTTCTGAAGAAGGGTCCTGACCTGAAACGTCACCTTTCCTGCTCCTCTGATGCTGCCTGGCCTGCGGTGTTCCTCCAGCTCCATACTGTGTTATCTCTGAGTCCAGCATCGGACAGTTCTTACTATCTCATAGTAGGGTTCCCAATGTGATTTTACCATATTAAAATCACGACTGAAATTGAAATCAGGATTGAAATCCTGTCATCTTCTGGGTTTTACCAAAACACAGTTGGAAGCAAGCAGGGAATGTTGGGTTCAGTCAGTTATATATGTAAATGGGCAAATCTGTTGTAGTTTTAATTTATGATGCGGGCTCTATTGCTCTGAGAATAGATTTCCTGAGCTTTGTAAACTCTGTATCCTGCCGTGCCAAAGCATTTTTCAAATTGACAGGCCTGGGAGCCTTACGTCCCTGCATTTCTGCCTACATGAGATGCTTGAATGGCCTGCAGTTATACTGAGTGCCTGATTTGATTGGTTTATGGGTGATGTCCAACCTTCTACAAAGTCATTTCACTCTGCTCAGATTTCTCTGACAGGAGATCATTGGCCGTACAAGTGTGACAATCAAGGCACCCTCAGATCAGCCTGTAGCTTTCTGAATTCTGTACTCCCAGGCTCTCCAGTTTTCAGCCTGGGTGTTGGGGTCTGGGGGCTTGAGCGGGTAACTGACTCTCCACCCCTACCGCAGTGAAAGCTCGCTTCTCAGCCAATCACAGGCCTTTGTACTGGAGTTCTCGCTCATCAGAAGGTGCTGACCAATGAGAACCTCCCGTTCCAAAAACAAACCATTATGGTCTTTGGGAGATTCAATGTGAAGAAGGTTTTTTTTTTCTTTTATTTTCTGCTGGCTGGGAATCAGAAGGCATGGGAGAGTTATAGGGAAGGACATGGGTTGGCTTTCACCTTGCCTTCCCCCAATTTACCCCAGGTTGGGGCAGCATTCAGGGAAGAAGACAAATGATTAGTTGATGCCCCCTAAGTAACCATTAATTAACTACTTAAGCATTTTAGTTGCTGACAACTGAAGAAATTTCCTGATGGACCCTCTCACCCAGCAATTCACTGCTGAAAGACTTGTTCTAGGGCCAATCAAACACATCTCTCAAAGGCCAACTTGCTCAATTATTTGCCCTTCTCTCAGGAGGGAAATAGTGTAACCTCAAAGTGGAAATCTTATAGAAAGGTCATGATGCATGTGTGCGTACACTTTCTTGCAAAATGTTATGATTAGTTCATTCTGTGTTAGTTATATCTCCCGCAGGATATCGCAGTGTGAGTGGGTGGCGCCTTGGAGACGAGGGCTACCCTCTGAAGACTTGTCTGTTGATGGCCCTGCAGCAAACCCTGTCAATGATGCTGGGGAGAGATCCAATAAGAGATACGTGACCACAAAGAGGGTTCCTGACCAAGCGCTGGAGATATGATTCTGGGACAGAACTGGAGGAACCCCTCAAGACAGGTCATTCCCACAGTCAAAACAAAACCATTATTTTCATGACCTTCCCTCATCTTCCCAACCTGGTCACATCATTCACCTGAAGGCTACTGCCCAAGTCAATTTTGGGATTCAACAACGTAGAGGACAGGAGGGTTAAGAGATCAACTTAAATGTCAGATTCATTTCAACAAATGTAAACAAGGGACATTGATATGCACACCTAAGCAAATCCCCTGGTGCAACTATCACATCTTACTGGTTGGTTTCCCTTGACTCCATACCAGATGACCCCTGGGTTTTGGAGCCATTGAGGATCCCACCAATGACGGTCTGACCTGTACCTGTACAGGAGGAGACTCCATGATCAGTGTAGGCAGCAGCTTGTGCCATTCACGCTGAGGAGGATGGGGAGGAAAAGGTGAGATGTAAGTGTGCCCGAGAAATGGAGATCTCACTTTCCTCGTGCTCCCCTCCAGCTTCCCTCTTATGTCCGGCCTGCTCCTCTCTGTGAGCCAAGAGCGAGGAACCCTTCTAGTTCAACATCTATCACGTACACATGCGAGCATTTACAAAGTCTGGCACTAGCTTCAGATCTCCCAACTTCAAGCTAATGCATGGCTGTGACCTGCACCTTTCCCACAATCTGGAGCATCGCTGTTTCATCCCTGTCAGTGCCATTTGTAACACACCACTTCTACCCACTGTTCATGAGACCTTCTCTAGCTTTTGTCTTCCAGAAACTTTTGATCCTCTTGGCCCTATCTAACTCATAGAACAAAGAACAGTCCAGCACAGTACAGGCCATTTGGGCTGCGATGTTGTGCTGACCTATTATCCTACTAAGATCAATCTACCCTGTATAACCTACATTTTACTATCCTGCATGTGCCTATCCAAGAGTCGCTTAAAAGTCTCTAAAGTATCTGACTCCACTACCACGGGTGGCAGCACATTCCACACACCCACCACTCTCTGTGTAAAGAACCTATCTCTGACGTCTCT